CTATGTAATCTTATCAAAACCAATAGCAGAGTTTGGGCAGTTTGAGGACATTTGACTGTGTCTGTATTTGGGAAACCTGTTTTGTATATGCTTAGACAAGCACAGTGTGAAAAGAGCCAACACAGCGTGCGCAGGCCACATAGGGCTTTCCTTTGTGTAGTAGCAAATCTTCAGCAAATGGAGCTGACTAGAACTTTGCTTAGAACTGCGAGGCACTGACTAGTCCAGCTCAGTTCAATGGGCCACTTAAGCAAGTGCTTGTTTTTAAGATCTAAGTGAAGATGTTTTTGAAGAAAATGGTGTTTCCAGGCTTTTTTTCATGAGAAAATGAATTGTGTGCACCTGCAAGAGAAAATCTGAAGTGTATGTTCAATTTGACCTCCATCATTTATCAATTATTTAGTACCAAGTAGTTAAAATTGAGATGGATCAAGCAGATTAATCCCTACACTGCTAATGTTCAGTGTGTGCTTGGCAGTTCATTAACATCATGTCAAATTCAGGGGTTATGCCTCTCCCACCTACGCATCTGCTTTGAAGAATTTCATTCAGGAATGGGACACTCACAAATGTCCACAGTCCAGAGGGTCTTCTGGGAATGGTGAAAGACAAAAAACACAAAATGGGCTCAATTTTTAGGAATTGATTACTCTAAACCCAATTGCAACAGGTATTGAGCTTGCTTCATTTCTATCAATTTCTAGTTAGAATTACTAAAGTGGTGAAATCACCACTCAGATGACAATTTCCTGAAAACAATAGCTTTTTAACCAACCTGAGGTTTATGTCTTCTTCCCCATTTAGTCATTGTCACCCAATTCCAGTTCGCAGCTAACATTTGTTCCCCACCCGAAGACTAGCCCCAAGCTTTTAAGTCCTGACCCAGTATCAGCCCTTAACCTCACGCTCCTAAACCCTTTTATACCTGAGGCAGTGATGCTATCCCAAGCATAGCCCTGCATTTTCATCCAACCAACCCCTGTTTCACCTGACCCTCTCCCATTAAATCCCATATCAAAGGAGCCTACATTCTTCCTTCTATTTGCCCTTTCTTATAGCTTACCATCTGCTCCTCAGTTCTCATACTCGACACAGCCTTAACTGCCATTTTTGGGTGCATTGGGACATAATTCCATGTCCCTATTTTAAAAAAAAAGCTGCTGAGTATTAAAAGTACAATAACAACAGTCAGACATCACGACACAGGTGGGAAAGATTTCACATGTTCCCACTTACACTGTTAACTTTTGTTTTCTCAATCAAGCTGTGATAAAACATACAATGTATAAAGACGGGTGAATATGGCTGCATCTGTATAGTGTATTTTGCTTTGAAAGATAAATTGTGTTGAAAACTAATGACAAAGAATATCTTTATGAAATAGCCAACAGAAATGAAGATTGCCACAGTTCCCGTAGTGGCGTTAATTTGAGAACGGTGGGCTAATTCTTGGTTTTCACAATTCAGCACTCTGCAAAGTTCGTCATACTTGTACACATGCTGAAGGTGTGAAGGCAAAAAAAAACCCAAACCTTGTACTGAGGACAATGAAGCCAAAAAGTTATGATTCTGCAGCAAAACCTCTTAACATACTTATTTTTCTTTACCCAAAGGGAAATCCCAACATTTTATAGAAAACATTTTCCTGCCCTAAATTATACCGATTTCCTTCATCCAAAACTCAAACCTAGAAAGAAGAGAAAGTTGCAGCCAAGGTCCTAGGGTATTCTCAGTTATAGAACCATTACTGTGATTCATAATGGAGCAAAAAAACCAAAAAGGCATTTCAAGTCAACCTGTAAGCGCTCTCATCTGTGTGGGTCTGATCCATGTGTGCCTGTCTACATTAGGAAATTCAGCATACATAAATATATAAATAAAACATATATACAGTACATAGTCACATTCATATAAGCCATAAAATGACATATATTTACAAAATATTTGCAGGTATGGTTTACACTTTCAGGTCCACATCAGGAATTCAATTATTTAGCTTCTGCCTTGTGAACTTGATCACCTTCCCAAGTAGAAATCTGGGATGAATTTGTACCTTATATATATATATCCATAATTGTCAAAAATAAGAAAAAGAAAATAATCTTCCAAGGAATTCTGCCAAGTCCATAATAAAATTTGAAACTTGTTGAAGCATAAGCTGCCTCATTGAAGAGTAAATTACATGTTAGCAAACACTGAGAGACCTTCCTTTCTTCATGTAGAAAGACAGTACCTCGGTCTGGTCCATAAATAAATTTGAAACTCATAAAACATCAGGCAGAGCACAAACTGGGTGCCTGACAGCTGTTTGTAGTATAAACTCATGCGTAATTGCTATTCTATTTGTCTCAGTTTAAACTGGTAGAGCGGAGTGAATGTAGAGATGAAGACGCATACATCAGGTTACCGTAGAGAGTAAACTACATTCTGTTGGCATTGTTGTTAACAGTAAGTTACTTGGTCAAAACAACTGCAAGGATCTCACATTTATACAGTTCATATTATACAGTTCTGTGACTTCCAGGAGTTGGACATATTTAAGTCTCCAAAGATGGAGAAACATTTCTTCACTGCTTCATAAAATAGTCTTCTTAGGTATGCAGCCCAGGTTCAGGCATGCTTTTTCAATCTGGCGGATTTGCCTTTGTGACATGAAATAAATTTTGCAAAAGGAATTAAAGCTTTGGAGAAGTGGTTGTTTTCCTTTCAAAGAGCAGTTGGAAAAAACAAACCTCAAAATGCAGCAGTTTAAAGTGCCTGTATGTGAAGTCCCATGGGGAAAAGTCTTGCCATGAACCATCAAACCATGGCCTCAGATAGCACTTTCAGTGATAGGCTGTGAAGTCATCTCTTGCTCCTCACTATTCCCTGTGGACGCGTCCTGGACCTCCTGCTGCTGATAGATATCTTGGACCAGCATGATGTTTGTGTTCCTCCACTCTCTGTACTTCATTGCGGTCAACTTTGGGTCCTCTAGCAACTGGTTAATTGTGGCCAGGTCATGCTCCTTACACTAGGAAGAGAACAAGTGGTTATTTCCCACAGAAACTGTCAAGTTCATTGTCCGTAACAAAAACAGTCTGGGAACATTAGAGAACCATGTCACAAGGAGATAGCCAATTATCCATCCTCCTGGCAACTTGTTCCCATTTTTAGAATATACATCATTAAAGTTAAGTCCATAGCAGAAATTTGTCCAAGTTGAAGGCAAGATTATGACTCCATGTAGATTTTTTATTTTATAAGATTCTTCGCAAAACTTCATGAGAGAGAATTCATGTGAAAATTAGACAGTTATGCTGTCTCACAAGTTAGTACTTGCATGAAACTGGACACAACAGCATTTATTTCTATAATTCACACCAATTCCAACTTTCTCAGAAAATACTTATTCCCTGATGATATTAGAAATGTCTCTTCTCTAGGAGCTAGAAAGAAAATAATTTTGGATATAACCCATGCACTGGCAGTAGAGTTTCTGTGTGGCTAGAGCACGTGTGGCTGCTAATAGATCTACTGCCAGCTACTATTAACAAATCTGGTCTCTACTTTTAGACAAGGGAGGCTAAGGCTGTATATTGCAGACCCCCTGGTTGAATCATAAGACTTGAACAGTCACTGGTATGGGGAGACTGAGATCCTTTATATCACAGAATCACAGTAAGGTTGAGGTTGGAAGGCACCTCTGGAGGTCAGTCATCTGGTCCACCCACCCTGCTCAATCAGGGACACCTAGAGCAGGCTGCCTAGGACCGTGTCCAGCTTTTGAATATCCGCAAGAATGGAGACTCCACAGCCTCTCTGGACAACCTGTGCTAGCGCTCAGTCACCCTCAGAGCAAAAAAGTGTTTCCTGATGTTCAGAGGGAACCTGCTGCGTTTCAGTTTTAGTCCATTGCCTCTGGTCCTGTCACTGGGTGCCACTGAAAAGAGCCTGTCTCCCTCTTCTCTGCACCCTCTATTCAGGTATTTATGTACATTGATGTCCTCACATTTTGTGACACAATGAACGACTTCGCTTTTCCAGCCCTTATTGCCTATCCATGCAGAGGAACACAGGATAGAAAAGCCCCAGTTAGCAGCTACGATTTCTTAATGGAGGCACCATGCTGCACTAACAAACCTTTACTCCTTTTGCCTGGCTCCTTTCCCCCTAGTCTCTGTGTGAAAGCAACAGAATAGTTCTTCACCATCTTCTCCTGCTTCCACCAGTTTCATTACTCCTGAGGACACTCTGTGCTAGTGGCTGCCTTGGAAATACTCCCACACGTTTATGATGCTTCCCAATAGCAGGAATCAGATGTTACACATCCATATACAACTACTATTTTATTGAACTATCAACTGCTCTAATCCCTGTGATGCCTGAGCCACTTCTGAAACAGAAAAACTTGTTCAACTGTTGGTTTACACAGGTCCTACCCTCCAGACCTAGTGCTAGCCCTTCTAAGAGGGTTTCTGGCATCAATGCAGAAATATGTGCAGTTAGCCCAAGAGAAAAGGAGATAAGGAGGCAGAAGGGAGAGAAGAGTATTTTCCAGTGGACAAACTTGGTGGAAAAAAGCCATGCTGTGGAATTTTTCTGTAGCAGTAAATCTATTTCCCACATTCATTGAGCCTGTAATGCGTTTGCACACAGCTTCTCTCTCTTCCCAACTATCCAAAGCATGTTTTGTTAATGATATATTGTGGCAGCAACATTAATCTGTTGTTAAAGACATGGAGTCAAAAGTCCAAAATTAAAATTGTACTGAATCTTGCATAACTCACTTGTCTCAAACTAATAGGGTTTTAATTAAAGCAGAGTAAATGTGGATCAGATGCAAAACTGTCCTGATTTTTAGATTTCCAATAGATCATTTCTAATTATCTCGTGTCTCATGTTATACATTAAGAAAATTTACTTTAAATGCACATAATCCTAGTGATGCAAAGAATATGACACTTTCCCACTGCAGGCATTTGCCTTTCAGACAGGCTAACTTAAACACTACTCTGTATAGAACTCTGTTTGTGTCTGTGAGAAAATGTCTGTGCTATATTTGTCTTGTCAATACTCCAATTTCTTAGTTTGAAGAAAGCAAAAAAAAAAAAAAGATCAACACATTTTATACATTATGAACACTCTAAAAATCATTTTTCCATATTAAATACAAGCGTTAGACAAGTCTAAGGTTATAAACGCTGCTAATCACAACTTATACCATACTCCTGTGCTAAATCAATGCAAAGCCATCCTTGCTCATGTCTGGCAGTAAGGCTTCTAGGCTCCCATTCAGGTCCATACTAATGAAATTGATTGTCCCACAAGATACAACTCTATTTTGTACTTACTGGTTCTTAGATTTATTGGGGAGGCTCCTATTGGGGAAACCTCTGCATTATGTTTCTATATTTAGCTTCCTGTCGCATGAAATAAGCATGCTTTTTAAACTAACTTTCTATATGAGGGGTTCACTTTATTGCTGACGCAGGTTAATACTGCTGTAGTCAGTACTGCGTCACTGAAGATTCTTTGATACTGAGGAAAGACTTCACCAGGTCTCATACGGAACCTGGAAACCCAACAACGGGGAGAATGCCCATAATCCCACTTGTCTTTCCAACTGTATCTTCAGGAAGTTTAACACAGCCCGAGGTGTCAAAGCCAATCCTTCTGTTGCCTCTAATAACCAAATCAATGATTGTGCTAATAGCAGAAGTTATTCATGCGTTTCTCCAACGTACAATGCCTGAAGCCAAATACACACACTTGAAACAAGATATTCAATTCTTGCTTCTAATGCATACAGAAAGAAACAAGTGAAGCTCCAGGTTGACATTTATTCTTTCTTCTCCTTACAATTTAAGTATTATGGCTAAGCTTTCTGTTTCCCTCAGTGCCATTCAGAAGCAGGCTTTGAAATCCCGTGACACTTGAAATGATGCTGGCAAGTAAACAGCCTCATAAATCCCCATACTCCAGACAGATTTACTGGCCCTTTCATGGAACGTCCCCTGAACACCTCCACCCCTCCAGTTCATGATATGTTTCCAACATAAAAGCAGGATGCTTTTGTTATTAAAAATATTTTAGTTACAGGAGGTCTTTACAATAGCTTTGGCACATCCTGTACATTCTCCAATAATCACATAAGGAAAACTTTTTTTGGCTCAGGGTCGTTTTCGTGTCCTTTATCATCAACGTGCTTTGTCTGCTCTTCCTTTTTTAAGGCTCCCCTGTTTAGTGTATTCAGCTGAGCTTGCACGTTTTCCAGCTAACTAGGAGACGCTTTCTTTATTAAATTTTCCAAATGGGCTGGAACGTCTGCAAGAAGAGTCCCTTCTGAGCCTCTGCTTCCAGTTCAGATTCAACAACAAAACACAGATCAGTATTTAGAATGAAGTAGAAAACAATTTCAAAAACTTAACCAAATTCTCTGGGGCTTGAAGTAAATATGTAATTATAGTTTGGCTGAAGCTTAATCTTGCTTCTTTTTTCAGCCAAACTGTTTCTTTCTCTTAGGCTTTTTCTTGGCTTGCTCTGCAACCTCACCTTTAATGTGCTGTTCAGCATTCGAATTTTGTGGAGTTTCTCATTAATGGAAGGGTTTTTGCTGCGTTTGATAAATGACTTCCTAAGCTCCTTCTTCGTTGACAGCCGACGATCACCAATGGGAGACAGGCTTGCTTGTTCTAATGACTTGTAAAGTCGCTCCATCTCGTCATCATCACATTTTTCCTGATCTGCAAGCAGAAGAATAAATTGGGTATGAGAACGTGAATATGGCAGCAGAGAGCAGAAATGTTAAGTTCAGCCATCAGGAAGGCTCTTATCCAAGTCAAAAAGTAATGGTATTAGAGTTAAAACCAAGGGCAATTTTTAGGGTAATTTATAGGGTAATAATGCATATGAAAAAGACATACTACCAAACTGAAATATTTTTAAGAACCAGGTCATGATCGAAACAGATATGAGCATGTATTTCCACTGATAGAGCGCTGCTTTAATGCTCTGAATATATCACAGACTTTGAACAACTGTCTATAATGCTACATTTGAATGAAAACAACTTTGACAAGA